TACTGCTACTGCTACTGCTACTTCAACTACAACTACAACTGCAACTACAACTACTACTACTGATTCTACTACTGCTTCTACTACTGATTCTTCTACTGATTCTTCTACTGATTCTACTACTACTACTACTACGACGACGACGACTACTACTACAACTACGACTACTGTGACATGTCCCCAAATCTACCGAATCCAAGTCAAGGGGGCCACGGGTAGCATAGACATTATATATATATTATTCAGGCTACCGACTAATGACGAAAGCCAGGTCTCTGGGGCTTGCAGGAGTTGTCGTTTACCATTCACTTGAGGAGTAGAGAACTTTGCCAAAATTGTGTGCAGGACCGTATCTGGGCCGTTCACAATAATAATTGATTTAGAGCCAATAAGGAAGGCCAAGCCCCGCCCCACCTTTGCTCCCCCCCTTACCTCAAAGTCCGTCACGGTCCATCTGTTTAAGCAACATGGCAAGTTGCGTTGTGTGCTTATGTGGCCGAGTGCGTCAACGTAGCAGGTTTCACGTCTGACCGCTCAGTAACTAGCTAAGCTGCCACCAGGACAGGTCGAAGCTGCTCGTAAATGGCCGAGTTATCGTTTACGCAGGGACACTCCGACTAGCAATGAGGTCGGTCAAGGTAATATGATACGACAAGGGTGTATCTTTATGTGGGCCAGGGTAAAGCAGAACAATGCTATCATCTTGCCGGCTTAATTAAGCTTCGTGGCACAACATACGTGCTTGCATCCACGCTGCCCGAGCCCCGTCGACTCTGGTTCCTTTTATTGCCCTTGGCTTTTGTGGCCTCTTCTCAAGTGGTTGGGGGGCCACTCAAAACAGTGACACATTAACTAGGGGCAGTGCAAAAATCTGAAGGGGATCAGCAACTAGATCCCCCGTACAATCTCATTTTTTAGGCTGGAGCAGAGCATGTACGGTTGCTGAGTAAGCCTCAACAACTGAGTCTGAGGCTGCGCGTGATGTTTGCGAACGGCGAAAATTTCGGCTGAGAGGAAAAAACCATGTCCGACTGATCCCAGGCCAGGATTGAGAATTCAGCAACATGGGATAATACCACTTCAAGGTATGGGTCGTGGTTGCGATTGTGGTTGTTGTTGGTGTTGTTCGCGTTGCTCTTGCTGTTGCTACCCTGTTGCCGCTGATGTTGCCGCTGCTGTTGCTGTTGCTCTTGCTGTTGATGTTGCAGTTGCTGTTGCTTTTGGTGGCGGTGGCGGTGGCGGTGGTGGTGCAGGTGTTGGCGCTGGCGTTGGTGTTGGTGTGGTTGTGGCGTTGGTTCTTGTTCTGGTTGTGGTTGTGGTTGTTCTTGTTGTGGTTGTGGTTGTTCCGGTTGTTCTTGTTGTTGTTGCTGCTGCTCCTCTGTTTGCTGCTGAAGTTGTTCTTGTCATTATACTTGTTCCTGTTTTTGTTCTCGTCCTTCTTATTGCACATTGTCAGCGACAGTATTCTGGGCTTGAGTCTGATGCCGTCGGCAATAGCTACTGTTGGAGAAGTGCCAGACTATTGCGGGGTGCCGTTGGTGCTTGGTCAAGATGAATGGAAACGCTTCCAAAGAAGCCAGCTTCATAGCCGGGTCGGGCCTAGGCTATTCAGGGGCTGGAGGCTGGAGCTCAAACTACGGCCATTGACTGCAGGCGTTTGGCTGCAGGACGCTGCATCATAGGTTCTCTAACTGCCCTCCCCGTTCCCTCTGAACGGGGGCTGAGCCTTGGGCCGCCAAACTTGGGATCAACTAGATGGGTTCCAGGACAAAACAATACTTCATGCTGCAGAACTAGCACGTGGTGAATCATTGGGGCCGCAAGTTTTGCTGAGGTTTTGAACTCTCAGGTTGCACAAATCCTTCCTGTAGCAGTAGAAGCTCAATTTGAGATGCAGTTTTCGAACTATGGCGCGCATTCGGTTCAGCCAGACCCAAGGCACCGACCCCAGAATGGATCTGCTTGCAATACCTTCTAGGGCTTACATGGACCCCGCTGACTTCATTAGTCGACGATGTGGTTAGCAGACTGCGGGCAGAGTTGTTCAGGGCTTATGAGTTTGAGAAGGGAGAGGCAGCGAGGGAGGTCTTTGCCTAAGACGAGCTGCTAGGTAGGTAGGAAGGTAGGTAGGTACGTAGGTAGGTGCGTACGTAGGCACTGTGCGCACGGACGTATATATTATGAATGTATGCACGTATCGTAAGTATCGTACGTACGTGCGTACGTACGCCATACACACGAACGTGTGTGGCAGGGTTCAAGGTGTAGGATTGCTGCAAGCATGTTGTCGGTAGTCGCATTCTTCAGCCGTATGCTCCGACAGAAAGCTCGCAACCCCCCCAAGGCCCAATAAATCAGATGAGTTCACCTGCTCTCAGGCTCAGGAGTAGAGATCCAAGCTCTGCCTCCAGGGGTTTTTGAAACGTTTTCCAGGCTCAAGTTGCAAAGGGACGATGGAGAGTTCGGGTTTTGAGGGTTTACAGTAGGAGCTCTTTTGGGGGAGTGAGTTGAGGAGCTTGGGAGTACAAGGTTTTTCAGGACTGTGGAGGAGTTCAAAGCCTTCGAGAGTCCGGAACCGCTTCTGGCATCGAGTCCGATGTCGCGATCTCGAATGGAGCTAGACACACAATCTGTTCACGAGCATCGGCAGAAGCGCCTGACAGGAAAAATCCCAGCTGAGGTTGGCATATTCCAGATGCACCGTCCCTCCTCAGCACCTTCCTGTGCAGACGGACCTGCACTTACTGGGAGAGGGCTTTGGGCGTTGGTGAGGTTTGGTTGGCCAGTGCTTTTGGATGGGATCACAGTGGGATTCAGAAGTTTGGGAGGCATGCTGGTCATCCGTCGATGCACTCAAACTGAAGCCTCACAATAGGCTCAGCTCCCCGTACCTGGACAATTTTGTTCCGAGGTCCTTGGTCTTGTAGTAATAATATAGAGTTCAAGATCTTCAAGCTCTGCTTTTCAGGAATTCGAACAGCCGAATGGGATTAAACAGTTGCTGTGCCACGGATCCGAATCCCTTGGCCCGACACCTCCTTGTTCTAACCCTAAACCCTAAACCCTAAATCCTAAACCCTAAACCCTAAATCCTAAACCCTAAACCCTAAACCCTAAATCCTAAACCCTAAACCCTAAACCTTGGCCCGACACCTCCTTCTTCCGGAACGGAGGAGCAGCAGTTTGTTATGGTCCCATCCTGGTGGATGCCAACGGATTGCACGAACCAGGCAGCGCAGTACAGATGGGTAGTTCTCTAAATTAGGGTCCCTTTTTGGGTCCTTATTATAATACGGCACCTCTTATTTAGGGTACCCCAAAAGGGACCATAATTTTTGATAACCACCCAAATGTGTTATTGCTGGGATCTTGGGGCCTCGGCGCCAGGGCGCCAGAAGTGCGAAAGCTTGCAGGTTCTTTCACAGTCGCACGCGTCTTCGGAACTGAAGTTTAACAGGTGCAAGGTCAACAAGCCATTGAAGCCAGATTTGGTCAGTTGAAGACACTGCCTCCGTCGATCTGTTTCGTGTGACCTGAACCCTCAAGGTTCCAAATCCCAGTGGAAGCATTTGGTGCGACATAGAAGCGGAGGCACCTGCGCCTCCGCAGCAGCAGGTGTTGAAACTGCGCGGGATCTCAGTTCAGAATCTGACGATACAGCGAGCAAGAACTGAGACGGATAGTTTGCATGTTATGGGCTAGTGACCGAAGGCTTTTCCGAAAGACATAGCACACAAAGCGGCACTTTGGATGCGTCGTGGGATCTTGTGAGCATAGGCAGTAATGGGAGAGTCGTCGCTCGGAGGGGCTTTTTTGCTCTTCCATTTCCCAGGAAGCTGAGCAGTGAACGGTCTTGTGGTTTTGAAATTTACAGGTGGCTTTGCTGTTGGTGCTGCTCTTTCTCTCAGTAGCAAGCTCCAAGAGTTGCACCCTTGAGCGAAGAACAATCAGCATTCTTATCATGAAGATTGCTTTTCCCAGTTCTACAAAAACAAAAAGTCTTCCTTCATCTTGAACGTCGCTTTGAGGCAAGAGCTCCTTCGATTCGAAAACTCCCTAGAGCTTTGGCAGCCCAAAGCGGATGCCTCGCAGCAAGTTTGGCCGGAGCCTCAGTCCCGGGGCCTAGGACTTCGGGTGTGGGGTAAGGGCATAAGGGGGTGCATGCTCAAATGTTGTTTGCTGCTCAAAGCCAAAGCGCAGCTGTGCGGCAGATAACTCTTCCAAGATGTTGTTGCAAGGAGTTTGACCGAGGGATAGAAGCCTCACTTCCAGCAGCACTTACTTAGAGCAAAGTGCGCAAGCTGCAAGTCCACACTGACGAATGCCTTGACCTGGGAATCCAAATTGAAGCCCATTTGCCGGATCCCGGGACAAAGCTGGTTCATCCAGAGCTGCTTTGGTTCGGGATTCCAACCAAGCTAGAGTTACTGCAATCCGTTGATCACCATACGGTAAAGCTCAGAGCTATCAGAGATGTGATGGGGTGAAATGGCAGGTTGTGCTGCAGCACCCTTCTGAGTCTTCCCCTCGAACTTGTACCTGGAATAACTTCAGTTTCTTGCGTGCTACCGGATGCAGGATGATGCAGGATGGATCAGGATAGGAGAAGGAACCGCTGCCAAGTTATAACATGTAGTTAGGTGAGAAGCTCGCGGAGATCATTCATACATTCCGACAGCAATGAAGTAGCCAGCCCACCGAAACATGCGATGAGTAGGGTAACGGGCTTTTGGACCGGTCAAATTTGTTTCGGGAGGCTCCAGCCAAGCAGCAACCTGGCCGACGTCTCTCCCGGGATCGAGAACGGTCAAATAGGACGTGGGAGTGCTGATACGGATTTTTGGTCGACGGACGTTTGGTTGAAGGGTGGTCGAAAAAAAAAGGCCTCGCACCAGAGCATTTATACGTAAGATTGAGGATGAGGTCTTCAGGGTGGCCTCGCACAGGATGCGTGTATCAGCTTCAAGCTAGCCTCTTATATGTATTTCTGCGGCGCAGCACTTCAACTGCTGAGCCACCCATGTGTGCCGAAAGCTCTCGAACCCTCAAGCTTTAACAGGGGAACCCATCGGAGGCGCCTCGAGAGCTTTCATAGGACATCTATCTGCCGAAAGTGCCAAGGCCCCAAAGAACTGCAAAGGGCTCCAGGCCTTCAAGAGGCCCCCAAGTGGGTGGTTGTCAAAATTATGGTCCCTTTTTGGGTCCTTATGTAATACGGCACCTATTATTTAGGATACCCCAAAAGGGACCCTAATTTTGACAACTACCCAAGTATGCGCCACAGGAGTTCCGGAGCAGGCGTGGGAAGCAGCCGAGGCCGGAACCAGGGTGGAAGCTGTCGGCTTTGAGATTCCGAAGGGACTGAAGGTGCAAGCTCTTTGACTTCATGACAGCCGTTCGGAGGTGGATGCATTCTTGGGGATGGAGTACCGTGGTCATGGCTTTATGTTTCGTGAGCAACTTCCTGATGAAGATACTAGGATAGGTTGAGGTTCGCCATTGCCGGGCCATCCATGCCAATGCATCTGTGTCGCCAGCGAGACCGACCAAGAGAAACTCGAAATGTGTGCATCGTCGACTGGACTTTGCAGGCCTACACTGAAACCCTAAACCTGAAACATACCAGGGCCAAGAGGTCATAATCACGCATGCACGGGCATCACGGGCATGGCACCTCTGGGATGGCAGCCAAAAACCTCACTTTCTTGTGCGAAGCTCATCTAAATTGTCGGAGGATGTGGAGGAGATACTCTCCTCCACTGTGGTGCAGAACGCAGAACAATGCTTCTCGGCTCAATTGCAGCTGGTGGCTCACTTAGCAGCATGGTTGACAAAGCGTTGGGCGTCGTTTCTGTTCCAAGACTTTGAGGAATTTGATGGTTTCCGGTAAGTGTCTGCAATTGTCTGCATAAGGTGAACGGTTGATACAATTATGATACAAATGATATAGTCCAATCGGCACTGCTAGCAAGACACACCCCATTGGTACACTTCTTGAAGAAGCAGAGACAGGGAGACTAAAGATCGAGAGTCCTGCTCCCCCAGGTGCAGCTGCGGGACTTGCCGCGAAGCTGAAAGGGATTCTGTCTAGCCCCGGGTTCCGGAGCTCTTGTGTTGTGCTAGATGCCGGCTGCGCCATCTAGGTGTTTGCGGGGCTGTGCTTGATTCAGACCAGAGGGTTTTACGAGAGGGCTGCCGGATCGAGAAACGTTGATTTGCTTTGTATACAGGATGTTGTTTATACATGCTTAATTACATGCATTTGTACAAGCATGTGTGGCATGCATGCATACATGAATTCATGTTCACGTGGTAGATGCAAAGTCCGTGCCCCTGTGAAATTCCAGTGCGAAAGCAATGCCATAAAAAAGCCCCAAGCCCGCTTCTTGAATTCCGAATTCCCCGATTCATTCCTGCTGTTTGTGGGCGAAGATCTCAACTCCATGAAGGACTCAATGTGTGCTTCAAAGTGCTTGCGGAAGCAAAGCGACTGCAATGCCGTACCAACCACTGAGAATGTAAACAAAGGATCATGACTCGTCAAAGTAGTGTTCACTACTCGTGAGCATCATGAGGAGTAGTCAGTAACACTTCTATCGACACGAACACTAGGCGCACAAACACACACACACACACTATAATCAGCATCATGAGCAACATCAGGCGGACAGGAAGACTTTCGCCTCCTAAGGAAGAAACGCTTGTGGTGCTCCTACTACTACGACGACGACTACTACTACGACTACGATGTCGTTTACTATGTACTACGACTACTAGCACAACTACTAATACGAAACTGGTTCCGCTACTATTGCCACTGCTACCACCACTATGTTGACGGTGAACAGCGTAGTAGTACTGATCATGAGATTGAGGCTACTTGTGCTGGTGCCATGGTGTTACAAAGAAGCTCCAAGAAGCAACATCATCGTCATCCAGTTAGGTGTCCTGTCTCCACACCATCGCAAAGCTTACGGAGAACGACGCCTACGGCGCCATCGGAGGAGAGACAGCGAAGCCCAAGCTACCGGCTGTAAGCTGCGTGTTTGGAGAGTTCTATTCTAGCCTGACCGATTATGTCAGCTTTAGGTTTCATCTTTCATGATTGTTTTCAGGTTGCAGAGTCTAAGGCCCTGTTGTTGCACCTCAGCCTGAGGGACTTCAGTTTGTCTTTGCTCACATGCTTGTTCTTTGTCCCCCCCCCCCACCCGCAACAAATCGAGACCCCCTCAAGAAAGCCGGTGAGAAAGCCGTGGAGAAGTGGTTGTCCTTGTTTCAGCTGGGCGGCAGCAAAGGCAGCGCAGGATTCAGTCTAGCTTGTCCGGTTGCCGTTGAGTTCAGCGAAATTCCCTTCCTCAAGGAGTCGCTTGTGTGAGAAGCCATCAGTATCTCCTGGACCGAAACACCAACTTATTCATTGAATTTTCTTTTTCTGTGTTTTGAACGGCTCCTACAGCAATCAACGGCTTCCTGAGGACCTGCACACAGGCCTGGAACAAGCCGCAAATCCCCAAGGGCAACGGCCGCGAGAATCAAAGGCAAATCCAAACCCGCCAATGTAGATTGGAGTCAAGCATGCTAGCAATGACTTTGAGTGTCAAAGGCAAATCCCAACCCATCAATCTGGACTAAGCACGCTCGCAATCGCCACCAGAATCAAAAACACATTCAAACCTGTCAATTTACATTGGGGTAGCGCACGCTTGCGCTGGCCTGAGGAATCAAAGGCAAATAAAACCCTGTCAATGTTGATTTAGGCAGAGCATGCTTTCAGTGGCCTCGAGATTCAAAAGCCAATCCAATCCCGTCAATTTGCAGTTTTGGATAAAGCCACCTTTCCGTGGCTTCGAGGACCCAAGGCAAGTGCGGATGTTCGTTGCTGTCGCAACATTCTCTCCAGCTGCCTCCCTGCATGAGGATTGGACAATCTGTTGAACGACCCACGTCTGGCGAAAGTTCTGTCAGCACTCAGGCGCATTATTGGGGAGCGGGGCAGCAGCGGCGCTTCTTCGGTTGCGGGCTTCAATTCTTCTCAGAAATTTCGCGGTTGTGGACCATCCGCGGCAAGCATATATTTACCCTGCCCAGTCCGATTTCTTCTTGTGTGCCAGGTCGAAGGCCTACGAACTGACTTATTCGCGTGCCATCATGAGCCAGGGGCCCAGGTTTTCCTTTTCGTTGCCTGGCTGTCAGGACGAAGCCTTTGTGATGGTGTAGGTATAGCCGATGGCCTTTCAAGGGCTATAGCACATGATGCTGGCAGCCCTAATGCCCAATACTTGTAAAATCAACCTACCAGCTATACTATACGAAGCCCGGATACGTGTACATGAGGAGGTTCCTGGCCCCGCACTGCGTCTGCGACATTCCCTGAGCCCGAAGCCCTACATATTACAAGGAGGGCTTGTTTAAGCGGGCAGACGGGCAATGAACAGGGAAGGAACACGCCGCCTGTTCGCCTGAGGAACTGTTTGGGCCGTTGGCAAGCTCGGGCTGAAAGGTAGGGATGTCCAGGCCACGGGCTTTTGATTTGGTGTTGGGGTCCAGTCCGGGTTCTCGGCTCGGTTGGGCGTTCCTGGGTGGAGTGTCTCCGCGTCGGTGAGCTTAGCTGCCCAAAGCCAGCAAGATGCTGCCTGTGAAAGCCACGGTAAGCCCGGTTTGCACTCCAGATTTGCGAACCCGAAGGAGACGGGGCGGGAAGCAGCCGAAACTAGCAAGAAAGCAAATCTGGCAGGGCATCATCGCCGTGCTCGCCGAAACTTCACAGCAGCTTGGCCTGAAAAGACTTACAGACAACCGCAGCAAGGATCCAGCAGACATAGTTTCGGACCGTCGGGGCATTCACTGAGCCGCTGTCATCCGCCGTCTGAAAGTTTCTTGGGACCCCCAAATCCATGAGCCCTGGTCATGGCAGGGTTTGGAAGAGAACTGATGTGACTCCAACGGAAAGTGATGGTTTTTGCACCTGCACCGTAGGGTCTTCAGCTGCAAGCCAAGGCCCATACTGACTCAGTTTTCGTCGGTGCCCCAGAGACGAGCACCCCAGAGGGTATAGTCCAGTGTGAGATTGTGATCGTATTCTGTCGCAATAGCCCTAAACCCTAAACCCAAGCTCCAGGTGCCAGGAGCTCTCCAACACTCTGTGGGGGCTTGCCAGGTCTCGGCCTGGAGTTGTTCCTGAGATCGTGGCTTCAGGGCTCTTCGGGGCTTCAGGGCCGAGAGCAAGAGCAGTAAACGTGCAGGGTAGGTCCAACCACAACTGGAGCACATGAAGGATTTTTTTCGAGCCTTCGCTATCTGCTGCCACCACCCCAAGCTGGACAGGGATGTTGTGGCTTACTGTAGATTTGCCGAAAGCTTGTGGACATATCATGACGCACACCTCAGCCATTTGCAACCTTCATCCTTTGCGAACTCCGGGCTGATTCAGGGCTCGCCCAGCCCTGGACACAGGCTGAGCGAGAGCATGCAAGGCCTGAAGCCGGAAGGAATTCGGCCGGAGACCTACCTTCAGCTTTCCTGGTCCTTGCACGCAAGTCTGTTGGTGCGAATAGAAATCTTGAGCTTGGGCGGGCGAAGCCGGGATGTACAGCACAGGCTCGTGGCAGCCATTGGAAACACTTCTGCAAATTGTTCTTTGAAGCCCCTTCAGCGTTGTGCACCTGGTCGAACTGTCCGTCCAGGCTCGCCTATGCAGTCATGGCGCAAGGTCGGGGCGGGGGGGGGGGGGGGGNNGGATGGCGTGTGCGAACTGTAAGGTTTCTCACTCGGCATTGGGTCCTTGCAAGAAGGGGGCGCAAAGCGGGTGACGTGCTCTTTTGGCCCATTCAGCCTTAACCCAACACTCCAACGATCCTGAACCACAAGCAGCCCACCTTCTCCTTGATTTACAGCAGCCCACAGTGTTAAGCCCGAAGAACCCCTAAACATCCCAATACCAGAAACCTACTTTGGCCCAGACGTTAATCTACGGATGAGAAGCCCAAAGTCCAATAGCAGCGACGGTGTGGCAGAGCATAGCTTTCTGGAGATCTAGCTGAATCTAGCCCTTCTGGGGTCCTGCTGTACACGAACCTGGCAAGAATGCACGTTCGCGTTGTTTTGGTTTGGGCAGGCGTGTCACGGCTCTCGCAGTTCAGCACACAGCGCTGTCGCTCAGGGCAGCGGTGAGTGAATGCTTGGAGTCCGGTTGGAGCTTACGGAAGGATTGAGGAGTTCGAGACTTGGGTTGTGGAGCTGGAAAGCATTTGCGGCATTTGCGCTAGAAGCCTTTGGTCCACCTTGCCGTGGAATTCTGAAGTATCATCACAAAGGTGCCTCACAAACAGCCTCTGGGCAGTAGCAAAGCTGGGGCTGCGCGGCGAGGACTGTGGAGTTGGTGCCTAAAGAAGTTCTGGCTCTGGTTAGGCATTGGGCTTTTGGAGCAGAGCATGGGCCTTCATTCAGAAACGAGAGCACATTGCTGCGCGAGGAAGTGCGAGATTTCTCCAACCAGTGCCTGAGCCAAATTCACTTGGTACTGTTCAAGGACATGCTGGAAGCCCTTTGCACGGCAGCACTTCACCCACTTTCTCAGACCCATGATTATGATGGTGTGCCGCTGGCTTTACAGGTTCAGGCATGATTTCCCCTTGGATTGTAGAAGCAGGGTGGAGCTAATTTGCACGAGATCGCCACTGATTGCCTGAAGCCCTCCTTAGTCGCAGGCCGGAAGCCAAGCCGCCGTCAACCTTTGATTTAAATCCTGTTGGCATGAGGGTAGTTGTCAAAATTAGGGTCCCTTTTGGGGTACCCTAAATAATAGGTGCCGTATTATAATAAGGACCCAAAAGGGACCATAATTTTGACAACCACCCCATGAGCATGCAGGAGATGTCCCCACAGGGTCTCGCCAACAGCCTCTGGGCCTGCTGCGCCCTCAGCCGGACGGAGGAATCTGAAAATCGGCTGTCGTAGTTGTCAAAATTATGGTCCGATTTGGGGTACCCTAAATAATAGGTGCCGTATTAAAAAAGGGACCCAAAAAGGGCCCATAATTTTGACAACCACCCAGCTGTCGTAGCCCTACTAACCGTGCTGATGCTACTTGCCAGACGTTGTAGCTGCACCAACAAAACATTATGGTTCGTGCATGCTGGTAGTACCAGCAGTGATAGCAGAAGCGGCAGATAGCGGCAGCATAGTCGCACCACTGAATTTCTGAGCGCAGCAAGCCCCTTGCCCATGTTTGTCCTTCTGAACTCTCTGCAACTTGGCCTACAACCTCATCATCCGAAGCCTCTGCACCCAAACTCCAGGTGCCAAGCTCCAGTCAGACAGCCGGGAGGCAATCTTGGACATTGAGGCCGCGCATGGTTGCACAAGTTTAAGATTTCGCTCAGGAAGTGCAAAAGGGCCGCTGCGGTCGACACTTGTTAGGGCCGAGCGAGACCGCCACAGATCTCGAGTTTTTCGATGACGATATCCTTGCATGGTCATCGTCACTGATTCGGAACATCCTTTTTTGAAACTCCTTCCGCAGAGCCAGCAAGAAAGCAAGAGATCGGCGACCGACAATACTTAAACAAATCAGACGCTGAGGATTCAGGAGCAATGTTCCTGCTGCAGTATGTGTGCTGGCTCCTCGGTGACAGGTCGTGGGGCGCTTCTGCATCGATGCAGCAAGGCGTGCGATGGCTTCCGAAGACCTGCTGAAGCTCTTCTTCCCGCAGGCCCTCGGTTGTTTAGAGAGTGCTGCAGGTGCACAGCCCGAAATTGTGTAATGGTCTGGAAATTGAGCACTTGCACTCTTCCACGCGCAGCTTCAACACCTAGTGTCCTCATCATTTTGGGAACCTTACGTGCAGCCCTAAGCTTCCTACGAAGGAGCTCTCCATGGCACTCTGGGCCATGGCGAAGCTCATTGGCCGAAGGCCAGTCTGGCGATCCTCCAGTGGCCGTGGCAGCGCAACCTCGAAGTTCGGAGGGCTTGAGCTGGCAGCAGCTGGTAGAATAGTATCTGCGAGCAGGAGCAAGAGCTGCAGTGGTATCAGTGTCTTCCTTGTTTCTTTTGTTCTTGTTGAAAAGCCTCGGAAACTCGGTCCGATCCTTAAGCCTTTGGCGCTCTTCGTGTCACAGGGCTCGTGCCAATAAAACCAGCGACGCCTTCGAGGCGGTCTCAAGGCTCCGCCGCAAGGGTTGCTCGAGAGTGGGGGGTCTTTCGAAAAAAGGTCGTGACGCCGTAACGAGCACCTTCCTACCCTCTCATACTGCCTGCGAACCTCGAGCCATTGACGATAATAAGGGTTGATAGTCTAGGCTTGTCTTCTCACATGAAAAGCCCGTGACTCCGACAGACGCCAGAACTGAGATCAGATCATGTTGTGACTTTGTTGTTGTGGTTGCTCGCGTTCTTCTATCATCTGAATCCGCTTTGGCTTTCTTGATAGGGCTCCAGGCATTTCATGGTTTCAACTCCAGCGAAACCACTACTAATGTAGACCCGAACAGTGACAAAACATCCACACTTGTTATTGTTCCAGCAGTCTAATCCTCACCCAGGGAACATCCAGGAAACACTCCGAGACAAGCCCATGAGTACCAAAACGAGCACTAGACGACTGGATAGAAGGTTTTTCCTCGAAACTGTGTTGCACGCCGCAGCAGGAGCCGCAGAGCCACCCTCAATCCCTCTCCTCTCAATGTAAGAATGCCACACTGTCACAAGGTTTTTTGGGAATGATCACTCTCATAGTGTCATGGTCCTACTGGTTGTTTCAACAACACAAAAACCCACGGCTCACACTCCAGGTTTGCAGAGGCTGTTGCCGTCGAAGCCACGTCCCGCGTCCACGACTTCAGCCCGCAGGACGGTAACGCCTGCTCTGGCCAAGACACTTGTTGGTATATCTTCGTTACTAGCTGTCACTATAAGGGCACACCACGGTGTTCTAGCGCAGCAGTGTTGTTGTAATGCTGATAGAACTAGCATGTTTACGTATAACTACGCTTAGGTCATCTTTTATCAACTTGTTTGTAACCATAGTATTGTTGATTCTGATCAGGATTCTGCTTACTTTTGTTTTGTGATTCCATGGGCTTGAGGAGTGCAGACTTCAACCCGCAAACTGTGTTGGGCTATACAGCTCGGATGAACTCTAAGGCTCTAAGGTCCTCCTTTGCAAGCAAAGAACCGCAAAAGGGGCAGGTTCGGGCTGCTGAACTACCTGAGTGCAATCATGTTGCACATCTTTCTCTTCGGGGCTCTCGCCTTCGAGGGCGACCTTTCCGGCCAACTCCTTTGCTCCTGCCAGGGCGTATCAACCATCGCTTGGTCTTTGGTGACTTGCCTGCAGCAGCATGTTCTGAGGCGACCACGACTTAGGCTCGGCCTCAATCGTGGCCACTCGCGATGCACTGACTGCCTGTTGTCTCGTTCTGCTCTGCAGCGCTACAAGCACCATACAAAGACAATGGTTCCGGCGAGTGCTGGCAGCCATGATGCTAAACCTCGCACGAGCAATGGCAACGTTGATGGTCATGATAATAGCGACAGCAGCCGTTTGAATACGACTACCACTACCCACCGCCCGCTACAAACAACCACTACCACGACCACTGCCACTACCACTACCACTACCACTACCACTACCAATACGACGAACATGACGACGACTATGGCGAGGACGCGGACGACTACTACGCCAAAGACGACTACGACAAATACCACGACGATGACGACGACGACGACCGCCTCTACTACTGCTACGACGACGACTACTGCGTCTACTACGACCAGCACCGGCACCACCTTCGGCCCCCACTTCTCCCAACTGCTGAAACCTGTACTTCTACCATTGCCATTGCCATTGGTGGAGCAGTTATACTTCTAGCGTTGCCATTGCCATTGGAGCTACATATACTGGTAAGAGCAGTCACCACGAAGGGCGCTCACTGCGGAAGTGATGCTTGATTGTGGCTGCTTTCTGAACCATCTCGGTCCTTGATTTTGCGCTCTGCCAGAACCTATTGCGCTGTCTAGGCTGCCGGACTGTTTTCGGAAGCTCTACTCAGATGTACGTGTTGGTTCGTGCACTCTCCAGTTGTAATTCATGTCTCATGCTAAAAGGCCACCCTGGACATGGTCACCAGCCTTGACACTTACAACTTCTTCAACCTGGCTGCCCAAGTTGCGGCCTGGCTGACGTAGGTGATGGTTGTGTTCATATCGGTCGTATGGGGTGTTTGCTGCCATTGCAGATGCTGCTGTTTGGTGTCGATGGGTTGTTGATGGCACTGGTGAAGTCACTGGTGGTGGTGTTTTCCGACCTTGAGTTGGCTTTCACCAAACTGCCCAAACCCATAGTCTGCAACCCTGGTGGGCGGCAAAGAAAGCACTTTCTGTCCTGCCCTCAGCATGTTGAAGCGCATCCACATTGCAACGTCTTCAAACCCTGTCATGAGGGCTGACATCCGCTGCCGAAACCAAGGATGCTGAACTCGTAAACTGTGGAAGTTCTAGATCCAGGGCTTGATCCTGGGAAGCCCACGTCGGACCCAAAGAAACATGACTGAGTGTATGGACATTTCGTGTTCGGGTGCTGCTCCGATACCCTGAACCTCAAAAGCACAAACCTTGCAGAAAGCTAGCCAGTCCTGAAAAACAAGACCTCGCTTCAGTCTTCTTAGATAGTTTTCATTTCGATTAGATTAAAACAAAGACTCCAAGGGATGGTGATTCTAAGGGTACGCAAGTTCGGAAGACGTCACATTAATGCACAACATCTTGTTCTACACCGTTGGCCTGTATGTGTCTCTGAAGAAGAGCCTACTCCTTTCGAAGCTTTGTGTTTTCGGAAGCTTTGCGTGTTCAGCACTGTGGGCTTCGGCTTCTGCCTGAGGCAGCTGCGAACATCCGTGCATACCCGCCGCAGGTGCGAGGGCCAGGGCGAGGGCTTGCAGCTCATCTGGGCCTTTCAGTTCCAGTTCATCTTGTACAAGACAGATGTCTGCAGATTTTATGCCATTGTTGCGTAGAGTCTAGGAGTCTAGGAGCATAGGAATATACGGAGCTCATCGAAAGCAGGTTGGCTCTGGTTTAAGTCCAACCCTGACGGACCTCGAGGGTTTGTGCTCTCGTCAGTGTGAAGGCCGCAAACCTTCGACTTGCGACCGTTCCCAACAACACACAGGAAGGGCCAAACCCGACCTATATCCCTGACTCCGCAACGCCCAAGTCAAAGCGTTGAGAGGCCATCGCCAACTGCTGCTGGGCATTCAACCGCCTGGGTCGCAAGGAAGCCGTCCTGCCGGCGTGCATTGGTAACACACAAAATGGTTTTCAAACAACTTGGAATACATTAATATGGTCATAAAGATGTCTTGGGAACGTTGCATGACTGTCTACTACTCGGAACGAACCCTTTGGCTCCAGCCCAAAAGGCGCCTACTTTTGATGGCTTGAGGTAGGGGAGGTGATTACACTTGCGCAGTTTATGGGTTCACCTTCGAATTAATATTATTGGCAATAGTTGCTATCAATATTAATATTGTTGTTCTTGTTGTTCTGCTTGTACTATTCATGTTCTTATCAGTTTAATTTATTCTTATAGTTTCCGCTCTCGTCATTGTTGCGGTGTATTTGTTGTTCGTGTTGTTGATGGCACATCGACGTAGTTGGGTTGATTTAGTGCTGCTCGTCGTGTTGTTGATTTGCTTGTGCTGCCATAAGGTCTTTGCCTGCCTTTTGTTGGTCGGGTGCTGCTCGAGATGGATCCTACTCAGGTGTCTACAGCAACTGCTTCTTGCTTTCGCAATGACTTTCCATAAACTAGCTTCATTGTCAGTAGAGGAACAAAAACTAGAAAGCCATGCTGTCGTCGTATTCCTACTTGTCAGCGTCAGCCGCCATCGTCAGCATTCGTCGCGATCATGAAATGTTAGTCATCCATCATTGTCGTACTGTTATTCGTCGTGTTCATCATCGCATCAACAGCATCGTCATCACTACGACCACAGCCGCCCTCCCATGTCACCATCCACATCATCACTAGCCTCATCCTTGCCAGCATCATCGGCAGGACAAGCAGTCATCACGATCATAGTCATCATCATTCTCGCATCCTCATCATCTCCATCCGCAGCCGAAGCAGCCCTCATCTTGATATCACCTCCATCGACATGTCCGCCGGCATCAACATGACAGTGATGATGATGGCCGCTTGTGCGAGAAGAGCTGCAAAAAGACACGTGTGTGTGTGTGTGTGCTTCTAGCAGGTGTCACTTGGGCAGTAAGTGCGAGAGTGGTGGTGATTGATGTAAGTGTATAGCTCATCTGTTCTGTTTTCCGGCCGCTGGCTATATATTTGTGACGTTGGTGGTCGCGGTAGCAAACAGCAACAGCACTGATCGTCGTCATCGTAGTGCTCATGCCAGGTTCTGGCACGCTTCGGCAAAGCCGCGGCAGAAGAGGCCATGAGGAGGATCGACGAGTTTTCGTGGCAGGACCTGCAGGGAGCATTGGAGAAAGGCAACCCCGTGGGAAAGCGCCTAGTAACTACGGGCCGGTGCACTGGGTGACAGCTCAAGAACTTGCTGGCAAGCGGGGCAAGTTCCCGGTGTTTTGTAGGGTGACTCGGGTCTTTGGTAGAATGAATATGGCACCAGGGAATCTCGTGATTGTTTCGCACCTCGCTGTCCCTTTGCGATTCCGGATTTGTCGGTGCCTGCGTGAGTGTGAAACGGTGTGAACTGATTCATGTATCGGATTGCATTTACAGCGCCGACCATCTTATTCACCGATGTAGGACTGCATCACTTGTGGAGGCATATTCATCTTAGAAGGGGGCCACGGTGGCTTCTGAGCGCAGTTTGCCTTAATCCGCCGCGGAAAATGCAACCAGGTCGGCCCGGCTTTAACGTCCATGTTTTTATGTTTGAGAGTAGTCATTAGTGTGGAGGTCTCGCCACTTTGCAAGAATGCTGCTAGGATTGTTCGGGCATTGTCAGTGCTCTCATGAACACCTCGCCCCACAGCAGCATGGAGGCCTGCATGCGGGATTTGATAGCTCACACATTTCGGATGTGCATCCGGCAATTTCTCGGATGAAGGCGAGACTTGCTGGGCAATGTGAAGCCGAGCCAAGCATTTATGTCAAACTCGTGTTTCTGTCACATCGTTTTTGATCCGACGTCCTCGTGAATCTATGTTTGCTCCCTTTAATGCACGGGACGCAAGACGAACGGAGGCAGATGTCTTAGTATGTACGCCGTCACGAAACATGGACAGGTGCAGACACTTGCACGAGAGGTGGTGATCCGAGCCAGCCCGCGGCCTTAGAGAAGTTTGAGCAGGCTGTCATCAGCATGATCGCGCGATTTTGCACCATTCTGAAGTGCAGTGGGGCAGTTTCAAGGAAGCTCCTGGAGGCTTTCAGGTTTCCCTTCCTGTCTCCTGAGTCCCTCCACCGAGGCGGACGATGCACGGAAATCGGTACACAGGCGCTGCCGCCAGGCTGCACATGTGAGCGTCGAGGTGTCGGAGTGGTTGTGGTGTTGTGACGCATTGGGTGTTTTTCCATGGTTGAAGCAAAAACCTGGACATTCGTATCGGACATGGGTGTGGATGAGCACTCGACAAAGGCACCACACAAACTAGGTTGGTGGCTGACCCGCCGCCTCTGTGTAACCCCGGATTGTGCCTGAGAAAATTTTGTGGGCCTGGGGGCTACTTTCAAATTTCCAACAGGGCAGAACTGTCTGGAAAACTTTTTAAAGCCTTGAAACAGGGATCGACGACCTTCAACTCAAGTTGAGCAAGTTTCTGACCCCAGACCTGAAGAATTGAAACCCAACATGCAGCTCTAGGCCTCAAGCTCAAGCCCAAGCCAAACACTCAGACAAGACGAAGCCATAGCCTCGGAACGAATGCACGGTCCTAAGGGATGCACTGGTAGCATGGCCGATATCATCGTTCAAGCATGGATGCTGCAAACAGAACCCGAAGGAAACACACAACCGAGGGCATAAGCAGGGCATTCCCTGTGTGAAATCCAAATAAACAAAAATCGAGTTCTGGACCTGAAGCGGCAACAAAATGACGCGGGCTGAATGAACGATGGACACCGACAAAGTAGCGTTCCGGGCGGCAGGTCACCCATCTGGCTGAAACTAGAGCCTACACATGCCCATGCCATGTAATAACTGCCTCGTTGTCGTTGATGCCGAGTTGTGATCTTGGCTCGGCATCTAGGTGACAGCTCCCGATTTCCGACTAGGAGCCCGTCTCCGGTCTTCAGAACCACGCACTCCCGACCCCGAGCAATGAACGCAGACCTGCCCCATTCCCAGCGCATGCCATGCCGCGCATTGAATCTTCGGTCTCCCAGGTTGAACATTGCTTTGTCTGCAGTGCGGCTGAAGCTCGACTTGGAGGCCACGCGCGGAGTGGAGGCTTTTGGGTCTCTCATGGGGTCTCGTTGCCTGAGCACTCAGAGACCTGAGACCTCAGACGGTCCAAATGATGGATGTCACAACCATGCAGGCGCGCCACTGATGATTCCCAAGATTTACTGACGGCCTGCTGCCAGACGCCTCTCTCGCCAAAGGCGGTAGGTGCTGCATGAGGAGGGAAGCCCGTCGTGGAACGAGGAGAGCCGTCGAGAAAGTGATGCAGGTCCGGGATGTGCGCCTCCAGCAGTTCGTGCACTTTGTACTCATCCACACACGACTTCGACGAAGGGGGTTCCGAAAACGCGTTCGCAGAGGAGCGTAGCGCGTGAGATCACGCGAGTTTTCCCAGCTTTAACCCTGGACTCGGGCTGGGAAGGATGTGTTTGGCTTTGCTCAGGCTTTCCCTGCAGGGGTCAGGCGGGCGAGAATTTGCTGCTGAAGTCTCGCTTGCTCTGGATGGCGAGTGCGGGCGATGTTCCAGACAATAAGTGAACCAGGGGCACCAAGACTTCAAGAAGTTTGGTGCTGAAAGGCAACTGCGTCGCGACAAACCTCCTTGTGTCCGTGTGCCGGACTGGAATAATTGGAAGGATGTGCGGCTCACGCATTGTGGGAGCAGGGGTGGACACAAGGATGGCAGTTGCCTCTCCCTTTTAGGGCTTGGTAACTTTGCAGCCATGCAAGGAATATCAACGGGTTTGATTGGCATGACTGGGGCCCTTCTTTTCACAAGCCCGCCTGCACCATTCTGCAACTGTTCGAAACGAGGTGCTGTGCAAGATCAGTGGTGTGGCCCGTGCATTGCCGCTCACAGGTCATGACGCCTTTGGCACATGGCATTGGCCAAGCATTCGCAGGCCGCATGCACAGCCGCGCCCTAAGAATCCTGTGCGAGACTTGTATGGAAGCTGAATGAATGGCGAATGGCTCTGTTTTGTTTACTTCGAGGCAGCAGGGTTTCGTTCAAAGAAGTCCTGATATCGAGCTTGTCACCTGTAGACTGGCGAGAGAATGGGGAGCTCTGGGTTTCTTTCTCGACATCCTGAGTGAAAAGAGATCCAAGCTTTGTCTCCTTTCCGCGATCTCTGAGGCCTGAATGAAATCGACTTCAGGCAGTGGGAGGAAGTGCAGCGCTACTGCGGCATTGCAGGCGCGGGTGTTTTGTCACAGCTACTCTGTCTGACTTTTCCTGATGCTTCAAGGAAGCGTAGGACAATTCCAGAAGAAACCGCAATGTATGTACCAGATGCCAGTCCATCCCAAGATCCTGAGAGGTGATTGCTTGCCATAAGGGCCTTGCAAACTCCCAAAGTAAATATTTGCTCTCTTAGAAACAGAAGAAGCTAAGAGCAAGGCGCGGCGACTGGAAAAGCTGTCCGCGAGTCCAAGGGCGGCCGGGGTCGGCGTGGGAAATGACGAAAACCGTGGTAGTACCAGCACTGTCATATTCTTATTCGAGGCAGGAACTACTGTACATGTGCGCTGTCGTGCATACATACACCACATGATCATGCATTCATACGTGCACGCATGCTTGTAATGCATTCACACATACATGCATACATAGGTACGTACCCACATGCACACATGACATAATCATACATGTGTACTGTACATGCCTCCACGCAGGTTTATGCTCACATAGAACATGCAGGCATATGTATATAGTACAATGTGCAACATATGCCTGCGTACATCTCTACCTAGTTTACCAGTGTCTACCATGATGCTCAAAAACACAGACTTCGACGAGCATTCACAAGCCCTTGTTGTTGCTGTTAGTTCTGCAGCTGCTGCAAGTGCTGCTGCTGCTGCTGCCACGGCAGCTGCTGCTGCTGCTGCTGCTGCTGCTGCTGTTGCGTGGTGGTCGTGGTAGTGTTGGTGGTAGTGGTGGTCGTGGTGGTGGTGGTGGTGGTGGTGGTGGTGGTGGTGGTGGTGGTGGTATTGGTGGTATTGGTGGTATTGGTGGTATTGGTGGTGTTGTTGTTGTTTTTTGGTGGGGGTAATGGGTACGCAGTGTGCGGGTGTACCTTGTTGTTGTTATTGGTGTTGGTCCGTTGTCGTTGTCGTTGTCGTTGGCGCTGTTGTCGTTGTTGTCGTCGTTGTGGTTGTTGTTGTTGTGGTTGGGTTGTCGTTGTCGTTGTCGTTGTCGTTGTTGTGGTCGTTGTAGTTGTGGTGGTGGTTGTTGTTGTTGTTCTTGTTTTTGCGGTTGTTGTCGTCGTCGTTGTCGTTGTCGTTGTTGTTGCTGTCGTTGTTGTCCTTGTTGTCCTTGCTGTGCTTGTTGTTCTGGTTGTTCTTGTTTTTCTTGTTGCTGCTGCCGCTGCCGCAGCTGGTGTGGTTAGTGCTAGTGTTAGTGTCAAGGGCAGTTGTTGCTGGTGCTGTCGTCGTTGTGGTTATTCTGGTTATGTTGCCCGTGGCATCGTCGTGTTCTTGTGAATCGTCGTTGCGGTTATTGTTGCTGACCTTGTTGTACCAGTCGACACCTTCGTCACATTATGTGAAATCCTCATGTTGCCTGCGAATACCATGTGCAATCTGCTCGTATTCTGTGGAATTCCCGGACATGTAGCCACAGTTTCAGGTCTGAGGGCTGGACATGGTCTAAAGATCAGGTTGTGTGGTATTGATTGGCCTGTCAGGTTTAGGTGCCCAGGGATTGCAGATGTGCTGTAGATGTCACACCGCAAGCTTGTGTTATCAGAGTGATAGAAGGGGAGACCGGAAAAGTCTGAAGCACCACATGAACTGGTAGCTGGGGGCCGGGGCGGAGGCATCTTCAGGGTGGTGGGAGTTGGAACTAAGCGTTTTCTTCCGTGCGCGAAGAACGATTCATGTTCCAGTGCCCAGGGTTGGCAATTGCTTGCTTGTGCTAGCACAAGGAATGACTTCAAGATGTTTTGTGCCACGTCATTGTTAGAGACAGCCCGCGACAAGCAACCACTCGCAGCAGTGAGTCGTGGCCGATCTTGTAGGGCCGTTAGGGTGCTTAGGGTGCTGGGTTTGCACGGGGCACCATCGCATATCTCATCGCCACAATCCCGACGGCCGATCTTTTCTTGAATCTGCTGGGGCACGCTGAGGCGCAGGGACTCCAGCGTGCATGTAGGCAATGTTCATGCAGGAATGCG